ATAAAGTGGCGTTAAAATTTTGGTTTGTCCAGAAAGTTCGTTTCTGGAAAAATTCAATTTTTAAGAAAAACTTAAAGGCACCTTCGAATTCTTATGTATATATATCGCTGCTCACAAACATATGGACATTGTCTTAATTGGAATACGTGTCTAAAAAAGTGACGTATCCATCGATGAATATCACTTCTGTTTCTGTATTTAGTTTGTTCCATATTAGAAGGTGTATTTTATCGACGGCTTATTTAGTGTTCTACGAGTAATAATAAAAAACAATTCAATTTTCTTTTCATTAATGTTCGGTACAGGTTCAGGAACACCGAGGTATCGAAGGACCATCAAGTCCCAATAAATTACCAGAGAATGACAAAGACAAATTCGAATGAAAATGAATGTAAAGCAAGAATTCAATGTGCTATAGTCAAATTACACGACTTCGAACCATTACGAATATAAAACTCGCTAACTCGTTATAATGTTCCAGTGGTGAATCTAAATAGACGCTATAATTCTGAAGCGGTCATTTTTACGCATCTGTGACGATATTTAGAAGGTTACTTCGATGAAACGTGATATTATTAACGTCGTTGCTACAGCAAAACATGATACAATTCAAGTAAATAACAATTAAATAACAATTTAAATAAATTACCAGAGAATGACGAAGACAAATTCGAGTGAAAATGAATGTAAAGCAAGAATTCAGTATGCTATAGTCAAATTACACGACTTCGAATCATTATGAATATAAAACTCGCTAACTCGTTATAATGTTCCAGTGGTGAATCTAAATAGACGCTATAATTCTGAAGCGGTCATTTTTACTCATCTGTAACGATATTTAGAAGGTTACTTCGATGAAACGTGATATTAACGTCGTTGCTTCAGCAAAACAAGATACAATTCAAGCGGTTACATCTCCACGTGTACGGTAATATTGAAGTCATCAATACTCGTTATCCAAACTCGTTAAAATCAAAAAGTAACAGCAATGCCAGCGTTCTCGCGCTATGCCGCTGTGGCTACAACCGATTCGCGATATTCCCTCGCAAGACCCGATAAATGTTTATATACCTCACGCAGAATCCCATATTCGAGATATGTACCGTATAATCCGAAGCAGCCGGTGTAACAGAAGTGCATTACCAGGCAACCGGATAACGAAAGCGCAAAAAGGAGTTCCGCGAAAGGAAATCGGGCATTGTCCCTGGCAACTCCATATTTCTCGAGGTGGCCGACCGCCAAGAATGCATCCGCGCTTGTTCGTTATTACACCGAAACCATTCGAATTTTAACGGCGGCGTTGCTCGTTTGCCACAGAGGAGGTAACGGCGTAACAGACGAATCTGGGAACGATTAGATAAGAAGACAAATCGGGAATATCCGTCAGGGAGGTTCGCCCTTGCTCGGACAACGTAACTCGCGCGCCAGTATAATTCGCCGGACGTTATCGTCCTTCCTAGATCACCCGCGTTCTATGCAACAACGTCGCCACAATGCACGTGAACGACTCGGATTTATCGACGTGCCAGAAATTGCATTTCCCTCCGTTTCGTCCGTTGGATACCTTCGGAGAGGGTTGTTGCGTTCTGGGACTGCTCGAGATTACATTCGGTCTGCGTTCTTCGCTCGCACGGGAAACACGGGAAGTCCCTTCGTCTGAGTATGCGGCGCGATGAATCGAAGGTTTAACCGTGCGACTCGCGACTTGGGCTGATGTCGCTGTTTGCTTGCTGGAGCAACCCTCTCGTCTATGGTTAGCGACGAAAATTCGAGAATCGGGGGAAGATCTCTTTTGTTTTCGACGAAGGGAGGGTGTAACCCTAGCAATTTGATCCTTTTCCTAAAGGGTCCAATTAATTTTCCATTAAGAGCGCTCGAACTTTAAATTTAAATAAAGTAGGTTGTCTACGAGATACCAACTTTTTTTATTTTTTTATCTCGGATCGTATATCCTCGATGGCATCGATTATGTTGACTTTCAAGTCATCGATCGCCTCTGGTTTTTTCGCAAATTTATCGGTGTACGAATACTTTCTAAACCCACGGTACGTGTATATAAAAATATCGAAGTGCTCACGTTAAAACATTCGTGATATTTTTAACAGGGTCATACCCAAAATATCTTTGACCGATGCATTCGGTTCTAAATGTCTGTAATGATGTAGCAGTGGTGTCGTTAGAAAAGAAAAATGTATTCCAACCGAGAAGATAATTTTTGAAAAATTCGTTAACGCAACAACTGCCGGTCGCCGCGAATAACATTAATGGAATCGAACTCGTGAAAGTACCTCGAGGAAAGATATCAAACCGTCGCGTAATTGTCTCCGACGAAATGGCATTCCCGCGACGCAACGTTAATTCGTTGTTCAATTTTCCTCCTGCTTCGGCACAGCGACGGATAAAAGAACTCGATATTTGCGAGCCGAGCGGTCGGAAAAGCGAAACGAACCCTATGCGACACGCGTAGAAAGGGTCGCGCCAAGTAAGCGTTCCTGCGATATCTCGGTTAAACGTTAAATTACTTTTGTTGATCGTCGGAATTTATCGTCGATTTACACGGCTGACTGGCCAACGAAAGAGTAACGGGAGAAACAATTCCCTCCTTTTGATTAATGTAGCGGAGAAACAAACGCGCTGGGCGCTGTTTCGATCTATTATTTAACGAAACCCACGGTTGCTAAAGGAGAACGGAAGGGCGGATAGGGAATTTTCGCAATAGTTGCTCAAAAGGACGAAACGCTTTTTGAAACGAGCCACGACGCTGTAAAATAACGAAACGGTGTCAGAGGCGTGCGTAACGATACGTCTCTGCGACGACTGGCCCAGATTCGAGCAAACGCGAGGAATTCCTATCCGCGCGGCGGATATCACTTCTCGGCTAAGTTATGAAATTCTTCTCGCGAGTCTAGCGCGTGCATAGGTGGTAAATTTAATCTTTACCGCTTCCCGCGTCGCCCGTAACGGCACGTCGCGGGGACAACTTAATTTAGTCGCGCGACAAATTTTTACGGAGTTAACAAAGTCAAGGCGAGACTCTGTTCCTGAGGAACCGGGGGCTTGTAAAGTTTCGTAAGAGGGCCAGATAGTGAGTAGTTTGTGCTTCGTGGGCTACGTATTTATAGGAGACAGCAAACATAGGTTGCGGAACTTTTTTCTTTTTCTTTTTTTTTTCTTTTTTAAGAAAATACGCGACGCGACGGAATTCGTGTCTGTAATTAACTCTTTGTCTAGTATCGTATGGAATTAGGGAGATTTAATGCTGGCTACGTATTTTATTCCAAATATAAGGCAATCCCACGTTTCCATTAGCAAAAATGGTATTTTACATCTCTCTCGACGTTATTTATCTGTAATACTACTAAAAAGTGATACGATAGTCTTTCGCATTTTTATTCTTTTTTTTTTTTTTTATTGTTTATGTTTCTAAATGAAACCGAAATATACAATTTCCAGGAGCTGAGAAAATACTTTCTTAAGAGCAAATAATTTTACCTACATTTTATATGAAACAGTGTTACTTAAATTAATAAATGAATATATATTTTACTAGACTGCGAGTGACAGAGAAAAAAATATATTCTTAAATATATTCAAAAATTTAAACTCATATAAAAATACATCAATATTCACCGACTCGTAAGAGTATACGAAACGATCACCTGAAACAGATTCTTCACTATCGGAGCCAACCCGGTTGGCTATCACTATCGTTCAATGTTAATACATTCCTTCCTGTACTCCTAATAAACCTGGCATGCTACATTCGATAATTTGCTAGTAAATAAAACGTTTGCAAAATCTTGTTCGCTGTCTCACGTAAATATCTAACTTGCAAGAGATTCGTGTAAAATTTGTATTATCCGTTTTTCGAATTTATATCTACTTGGTAATTCCACAATTTATTAAATACTTGGTCGCTGTATCCACTAAAGGTACATATAAAGTGATACAAGAACTCTCGAGATTTATTTTCTGAAAGAGGAAAGCGGATATTGTCGCTCTACTAGCCGAGTCGAGATAATCCACCCTAAAGATATTCTCTCCCCGATACTCGACGGGCTGCGCGTACGATGGAAAGCATTCAAACCGAAAACGTTTCGCACCCCCAAAATCGCAAATACGGACAGGGCGCTAAAAATAAACCGACCCTTTAGGGGAGTCGCTGCACCACTTTATCGGTTCCTTTTATCGATCGGACTTTGACCGCTATTTTTCGACGTGATATAATATTTGAAGCAACGGGGCTGCTTGCCAAGTTATCCCGCGAGACCGCGACGTGAATGTTTCATTGCCCTTACTAGGCGCGATAATTGTGACGTCGGTATTTGTGATACGCTACTAAATCACGTGGTGCGATCCGGCCGTCGAATTTCGTTTCGATGATATTTTGGATTTCGGTGAGTTTGTAAACCTTGGTAGAGACAAACGGTCTGTTGGTTATCATTTCTGGTACTTGTTTCGATCTGTACGTAGAGTGGCATTAGTATAAATTGCGTGGGTTAATAAAAGCAACATCATTTTTCCAAATTTTCCCGTTACAAAAATATGCAAACTTCTATCGTCCAAGTCAATTTCAATTTATTTGCTGGACAATGTACATTATTCATGACGCAAGACGAACTCGTTGTTTGAAAATTAAACCTTTGCCTTTTACGAGCGTGGAATCGTCTGTTTTCGTCCCAAAGATCTTTTCGTCGGAAGAGTAGCCTCATAGTCGAAACGTCGCGTCAATAAAAAATTAAACAGATTCAAAACCAAAGAACAAAATTCCCTTATCGAGTTCACCATGGATATCCTTGGTGCAGCAAAAATAACACGAATTCTAAGTTGTCCAAAGGATCATATTTTTAATCAATAATACCCACAATAATACCACTTGACCCAATGAACCCCAAGAGGAGAATACCACCAAACGTACGTTCTCGATCAACAAGTACCTCTCGATCCTCCTGAACATTCAAATCCCCAATCCAGCAATATCGAAACCCAATCTGAACTACCTTGGCGTCACGGCTCTTCATCTCCTGCCTCCTGGGCACCGTGTGCTCCCCGTCGGCGTACACGAGGTTCCTGATGAATCCGTTGAACCTCGGCTCGAAGATCACGCTAGGCAACGCCAGCAGCGTCAGCTTGCTGTTGTACCAGCTAGGCATACCGCCCACGTAGACATCGGAATTCCCAGCCAGCTTCCCGAACTCGAACTCCTTTCCGCGTGACGTCGAGACGGCGCTGACGCCGTCTACCGTCAACGTGGTGTTCTCGTTGCACCTGGTGATCTGCACTTTGTGCCAGTGACCGTCGCCGAGATCGTGACCGACGGTGACGATCTGCGCGCCTCCTCCCAGATTGTATCTCAGCCTGAGCGCGCTCTCGACGAGCTTCACTTCGAAGAAGTCGTAAGTGCCACCGTCGTCCGTGTACAGCAGCAGACCGTTTCCCTGTTCCGTCTTGAACTCGAACTCCAGGGTGCCGTTCAAACCGGCGTTCCATTTTCGGAACTGTGCGTAGCTGGTCGCGGAACCCTCCAACACGAACGAAAGGGCCACCTGGCCGAGCAACACTACCAGAAACGGCAGCAACACCCCCATGCCGCTGGTTACTAGCGATGAATGCATGTTGTTCAGGTTGTCGAGAGTCTCTGCTAGATGTCGAGCATCTGATTGCTCGACGACACGAGAGTTTCACGTTGGACCAACGACGCTTCGCTTCTACGGTAACTCGCAGGTCCTCTCGTTCGTCACATCACACCGATTTGGCCACCTTAGTGATCGCTTGGTCGCATCCGACCAGGTCCGGTAGGGTCGATTAGGTGCACCCGTCGTCGTTTGCGCGATCTAGCACGGTCAGGTGTGTACTCTTTATCTAGCCACGTTGTGCCGGCTGAATTCGCACGTGAGCACGCACGCGCGGTCCTGGCTGCGTGCGTAGACGACAGATACGGAAAGAGAGAGTGACTATGCACACGTCCGTGCCGGAATCGCGGGCAAGCTGTACGTTTAGCGGGTCTTCTTTCCCTTGACGTACACCTAAGAATATCGTTAAAGATAGTCGAGTATATACTCGAGGATATATATAGATACGAAGAATTCTTGTAGAATGAGAATTCCGAGATTCGAAGTAGTTCTACGTAGGATCGATATGCTTTTTAGAGAGACAGAGTGGCTAGTGATCTAGATATGTTTTCGAGTCCTTTAGTTCGCCAATCGAGGGACGCTGGCTCTTGTCGCCTTCTTGAACGTACCCCTGACGACACGTGACACGCTGTGACCGCACGTCTTCGCCATCCACTCACCCTAACGCGCATATATATATATATATGAGTTACGCTTAAATCCGGCTGCGTTTCAACCGAATACCTTACTCCTTACGAATGGCAATCACTTCACAAATCACGTTACGCACAATTTGCTTCTGACGGATCTTCTCCTGGCCACTCGTGAATCGGCACTGGGATTGCGGTTGATGAACTCACTTTCCGGTAATCAGATCAACGAAACCTTGTTTGCGGGACTTTGATCAGCTGGATCGACGTGGAGCCGGAATTTTCTCATCGAGATCATATTCGGTGCACAGGAACGCTTCGTAAACCCCGGTCGAGTGCGAGTCTCTTAATCCATTTACCGTGCCCACTACCCGTTGGCGTTTTCCCCGGACAAACATCAATGAACAAATTTCACCGTCATCGAGCTCGACGCGGACGCCAATCAATTCGAGGCCATCGCCGAACGAGAAGTCTCGCCCGTCTCGATCATCCCGCGTCCCTTCGCGAAAGTGTCACTTAACCGAGGAGAGATGGGAGGTGAGACGATCTCAACCGGATGATAATTAACGCGCCCAGTTTCCTAGGAGGTTTGTTATTTTACCAGCGTCGACGGAGCCTAGCTGCGACCTAACCTAAGGCACCTCGACGGTGACACACTTTTCCTCGTCTATCCTCTCCACGTCGTCGTCTCCTCGAGTGTCCCTCGACCGCACTTCCTCGATTCCTGGCGTGTCACCCGCTTCTTTCACGCCACCCGCGATCTCGCGAGAGTCGCCAATTAGTTAGCTCGATGGCCTCAGGGTCACGCGAATTCCCGTTGAGAGGAGACCACCGTCCGACCTCGATCCGAGCCACGGATTCATAAATTCGCGTTTATCTACGCCGATGTACGTGGCACGACCTCGACCTCCTGATACACGGTGACACGAGCACTTTCACTACGCACCCTACGCGATCGACTCGCGTCGCAACCCTAACCCTCTGGTGTCGTTTTAACGTCGGACCACGACGCTCCGGTTTCACGCGCACGCTAATATCTCTGCTACGTCGACCAAAAACGGACTCCGCTGTCCTGGTTGGGGTCAGCCACCACCACCGTCGCGACGAACACGACGTTTACGTCGAAACGGACGAACGTCGGCGCACTATGGCGCGTGTACCGTCGCGGACACGAGCCCGGAACGGTCCTCTGCACGACGGAACGTTTATTACGCTGGCTTCGACTGGAAAGAGGTTACTCCGCTTCGTCCATCCAGCGTACGTTTATTTCGCGATCGATCCGGCTCTCGTGGCACGGCGTACGCCCCATTTTTTCCATCCAACCCCAGCGAGTGTTCCACTAGGCAGCCACTGGCACCCCGAGCGTCGATCAGCGGCCGCCACGAGCACCCGCGCACGATAGGGACGTTTCCACGTCTGGGGTGTCTTGCGTCCGTTAAGTTTGGTCGGATACGTCGTTGGAGCGTAGCATGAGCACCGTTTCCAGAGGTGGATCAACCCTCTCGACGGCTCCCGGCTTGATACTGGCCTGGCCGAGAGGAGAACGCTCGGTCGAGACGGTCGGTCGGTCGGTTGGCCCGACGACGTTGGTGCGACGCCCCCGGCACGACGCCGACGCCGACGCCTCGCGCCGTTTCGACGCGCAAGCGCCCGCTTAGACGCGGAACGGACAAACACGCGATCCAAGAGGGAGAGGGAGAGGGATACCGTTGTGACGGTTGAACGATCGCGAGGGAGGAGGACGGGCAGCGTCGAAGATGTGGCGGAGGGACTACGTCGTCGTGTAGTCTGTCTGTTCCCGAGGATACGGTTCTCGCGTAGACCGGCTCGGGAGTATCCGTGGTGGTGGTGTACAGTCGCGAGAGATTGCTCACGGCTACCCTCGAGCGCCGGAGAAATACGCTGGCGGTTAGACGCCAGCGCTGAAAAATTGCTGGCTGAAACCAATGATCGAGAAGCGTCGGGAGTTGTTTCGCGCGCGTACGCTCTGCGGACGGACTCGGACGGCTTTGCGCAATGCCCTCGGACCACGACCGATTCAGCTGTGTGTCGGGTGATGTTTCCGTCGCGCGGTCCGCGGCATTTTTTCGTTGATTTTATATATTATAAATCGATGTCAACCCTTTGGGGACGTGTCTCGGCTAAAGACGCTCGCTCGCCGAGCGGCTCCGTCCGCGAAGGGTTAAAAAAAGAATCTGTCTCTCCCAAACGGGAACAAAAGTTTCATTTAGATATAAGAATAAGCCTGTCGAAATTCCAGCTCTTAATATTAACCCTAAGTACAATACGATATCCAATTACCGTTAAGATCAATAATAAATATCGAAGACCTTTAATAATAGCACGAATATCGAAGATAGGATTCGACGTGACCAATTAATTCCAAATTCAGTCGTGTGAATACATGGCGACATCTAATAGGGACAACGGTCACGGAATTAATTGGCACGTTTCACAAGTACATTTATGATTTCGTTCGTTAATTACATCTGGACGATTAATTTAAACCTTATAAATTCAATACTGTGTAATTACTGGCTGATTCCGCATTTCCTGTGTAATGTTAATACTATCATTACGAATCAAGATTTTTGATTCTGCATTGACGTTATTGATGGAATCAGAACGCTGAATGAAGTACGTCGTTTGAATTTTGCTTGGTGAATCGAAACAACTAGTTATCATGTATCTTTATTTACGATGTTTCGGCTAGCCGTGCGCGTGGTTCTACTTGGGCATAGAAAGATGTAAACGACTTATAAATATACGATAAGAAATTACCGAGAAAAATATATATATAATCATTCGTATGGTCGCTATTATACCGTGTAAGATAGAAAGGAAACGGGCTAGCGGAATTCTACTTTTAACGATAGCAACTAAAAATCTATTATGCATATCTATGTAGTTAATAATTTGGCCACTCACTGTCAGACCTAGCTCCAGTCAAGTTTTCTCCATCTACGCGAGTATTTGTGCTCACCATACAGATTAAGCGAATAAACACAATTTAGAGGGTTTTCATACAGTAATACCTGTACAACGTCTCGACTATTATATTCTGCTCCATTTCAAACAACAACTACTACGCATTTAAATACGTCGCTTAAATTCCGCCTATCTACGAAAATTCCGTCGACCGTAGAGCAATAAGTGCCTAGAAATAACGAGACACGCGAGTATTTTCTAACAGCAAGTTCGACGCCCAGAATCAATCTAACCCCGGTTTCGTTAATTTCTAAGGAGGCCGCCGAATGAGCGACGACGATTCGGTCGGGGATCCTTGATCAACCTTTGAAAAAGACCGAACCGAATTGTACGAGTCTGAAACGAGGTGGAAAAGTAGTGGCGCGGCAGGAGGGGGGGGGGAGGGAGAGAGAGAGGCGGTAGTGAGACGATGGCGTCAGAAGGAAAAGGCACGGGGGATGGAATGGAGATGGCGGAGCGCAGGGGAGAAACACGGAACTAAGTGTCCGAATAAGGGAAGGTAGAAAGAGAAGACGGCAGAAGTACCGCACAAAGGTGGTTCCTGGGATGATCGAGGCGAGTAGAAGGATGGTAGGTGTCTGGCAGAAGGTGGAAACCGACGGCACTACCACGAACGCTGGGCAATGCTGAGAAAGCATGGCACAAGCCCGTGAAAAGCACCGATCCGCGAGAACGATACAACACGAACAGCCAAGATGGCTAACGTCGTTCGTGCTCTCCCTCCCTTCCTACCTGCTTTCCAACCTCTTCTACCCCTTTTTTCTCCGTTCAGTCTTTTATGGACGAGTAGTGGCTTCACGCTGGGAGAAGGAGGATCGAGTGTCGTGCACGGAGTGTATTCGTCTGGTCGTGAAGGATCGAGCGTGAATCGGAGGACATCGACGCAAGCGCTAATTAATCGAGCGGAACGGAAGATGGGAGGACTCCTTTGACCACTTTCGGCACGGAAGCACGGCTGGCCACGGGTTATTATTTAGTACAGAGCCGAGCGTGGGAAGACGATTTTAATTCTTTGCACAGAGCGTGAGTTGAAACGCTGGCAGAACAATCGACGATAGGACATTTGGAATTTCACTTTCGTGGGATCCGTATTTCTCTGTTGGCAAACAGCGTGACGCATGAAGTATTATGAGGTATGGCACGCAATAGCTTGCGCATATATTTGTATCATATTAGTAACAAAGTTCTGTTTAAGTAAAAACAACGAGTCATGGTCGGACGTATTGGCAAAGTCATTCTCGAGTAGAACTAAGTAGTAATGGTCAGTCATATTGATAAAATCTTGGTCAAGTAGTAATGCTGGATAATGGATCAGGTCAGACATATATACGTATATCTTGACCGTAAATATATGCCTGAGAACTCTCTAGTTCTACTTAAGAACGACTAAGTGTCTGACCATTACTC